CAGCGTCCCACGCTGTTTCTCAAGTCACGTGTTCAGTGTCACTTGTATGTTGCTATTGTTTTTCAGCTCAGCACAGCTGTTTCAGCAAGCCAGAGGTGAGTTTTGTGGTGATTTCTGCGTCCAGTGTGAGTTTCTCCACGTGTTTATGGGAGAGGAGGAAGTGGCCATTCTTTGCCTCGCCCTGCTGTACTCTCACACCTCACCAGCCTACCATACATCACTCAACACTGCCCACTCCCTCTGCTGTGTTTTCTGCTGTTTTTCGTGTGATTCATTGCCAGAGCTGTGTATCCGAGTGCCCGAGGCCACTCGAAGCCACGTAGATCACGACGCCACGTGGATCCCGACGCCACGTGGGTGTGGGTGATGTCACGTGGATCTACAAGCCACGTGAGTTACCGAGCCAGATGTCCCAGGCCTCATCCTGTGGTCTGCTGCCCGTATCACATTGACGTCACCCACGATGCTGCCCGACTTCATGACATCACGATGTCTGCTTGACGTCACCTTGAGATGTCTGCTGACGTCACCTCGAGGCATCACATGATGTTACATCGAGTGTTTCTAGTATTTATTTCAGTATTGTCGAGAAGATTGTCGAGAAGATATATGTCATGTGTTAATTAATTACTCTCAGTCAGTGTTCTCGCATGTTAGTGTACAGCATGTACCGCGGGAGTGTGTAGTTTCCGTGTGTCCAGTGAGGTCTGAGCCAGACCTGAGTAGCACCACTGTGCTAAGTCACCCGATGTGACCAGTGCGTTTGACAGTTGTTATCGGTCAGCTCTGAGCCCGAGCCCTCTTGTACAGAAAGCTCTTATGCTCGTCGCTCATAGATGTTCTGCAGAATCGTACCTGCTAGGATTCCCATCGAGATTTGTTTCACTTCACCTCCAGACCTTCAGAATGCAGTTATATGTAGAGAAACAAGTCCGGGGACGCTTAGACTAACCTCTGCTATAACTCCAACTGCCGAGAGAATGACACTCGTCAAGCTGCAGTTAGCCCTGTCGGCAGGCGCTGTGTCAGCCTCGTGTCACAAGCTTCAGTGAGCAGCCTGCACAAAGATGATGTCACTTTGACTGCTAGCTCTCTCACTGCAGTCTGGTGTATGATGTTACGACTCCCAGATGTTTCGCCCAGTCGTCTCTGCCACGACTCGCTCCACGCTCGCCGGCAGTGACAGCCCAGCGACAGTACCAGTCGAGAAGTGTCCTCCTGAGTCGCTTGCCTGAAGTCCTGCCCAGTTGCCGAGTTTTGTTGATGCCTCACTCGAGGGCACCAGCATGTTGTGCCCCAGGTTGAGTGAAACCTGCAGTGAATCCTACGATGACTGCTTCACCGTTCCAGAGGAGACCGTACCCTGTTACGTCACAGCTCAGCCGCAGTGATGTCTCCTGTGTTGCAGTATCTGTCCAGATGCAGGATGGCGTGCAGTGATGCCCTTCGACGCTCACTGCCTATGACCACAATGTTTAGCACACCCCAAATGTTTTTTTCTTCCCTCCCTGTAGGAAGTTTTTATTTCCATGTCCATATGTATATATATGTTTTTATTTTGTGTTCTGTGGCCTGTGCCTACGAGAGAGAGACTGAGTTTCTTTTACCACCAGTATTGTCGTGTCGGGATGATGCGAGGTAGGTGGCCGAGCATATGTAGACAGCCTGTACTGTCTGCACAGACAGCCTACGCTGTCTGCCAGCTTTGTCCATATTTTGCATCACTAAGGTGCTGCCCTCTGTAGCCAGGCCTCTCGGTGGGCACGCCAGCCTGCCTGCTCTTGCCTCTGCCTCACTCACACAGCGGCCTAGCAGGAAGACACAAGGCCTACTAGCTCTCTCTCGTGGCCATGGCCCTCCCGGGCCATGGGCACAACACACAAGCCTGTGTACCCACCACGACTTAACAATAAATTAAGAAGACTCCGAAGACGTCTATCATTCACACGCCCGCTACCAGAACACCAAACAAACTGGCTCACATATCTGTCTAGCTCTGTGTCTATCTGTCTAGCTCTGTCTGTGTCTGTAAAGCTCTGTCTGTGTCTATCAGTCTAGCTCTGTCAGTGTCTATCTGTCTGTATCTGTCTGTCTGCTTGTGTCTCTGTTACAGAGAGAGCGCCACTCATGAACCAACAGGTATTACACACGATGCAAAGTTGTTACGTCTGATTCCTGAACAAGTGAAAATGTATTACTTGCCAGTTATGCTTATTATGCCTTATATCTACATGCACAGTATAGCACTTTGGATTTTTTTTGGGTTATCCTACGTTATTTACAGTATGTATAATAACCATATTTTTGTGTACCTGTGAGACAGAGACAGAGATAGAGATAGATACAGACACATAGACGGAGATAGACACAGCCAAAGTCAATCACCCAGAGACCGGCCAGTCAGCCAGCCGAACATGCATTACACATGTTCCAGAATTGTTTCTCATTATTTAGGGCATGGGTTATAAGACATTCTGGCAAGATGACATTACCAGTGGTATCAAAATTGAAAGGATGTTGCATAAATGTTGCACATGGGTTATTATTGAGGTTTTTTATATTTCCCTGACCACTTGTGGCCATATCCATCACAAAGCCACTAAACTCAAGGTCAACATCACTTTCCCCTTAAAAGAGGAGTGTTAATATGACATGACATCAGTGAATCTCTGGTGTCTGCCATGCTGTTTGCTCTAGTTGGCGCTCAATTGAACTGGTGCTCCCACGAGTACTAAATGGTCCCAGATTTTTTTAATACTGTGCACATTGAGTTTTAAGACCCATTCTATACTGACCAGGCATCTCAGGCCAATTGTGCCAAATTTGGAGGCAGGAAAAATAAAATGCTGATCTACGTTCGGAGTGCTAGCAGTAAGAACGTAGATCTACATTTGGACAGTTAATGGGTTAATGACTGAACCTTCCTCTTACCCTAGCTACCACTAAATAATGATAAGTCGCTCCTTTAAAATCATAAAATCCCATAAATGTATCCCAACACCTTTTATCCACAAATACAAAATCTGGGAAACTGTTTGCCGTGTTCTTCTTTATTTTTTTTTTTTCAACAAGTCGGCCGTCTCCCACCGAGGCAGGGTGACCCAAAAAAGAAAGAAAATCCCCAAAAAGAAAATGCTTTCATTATCATTCAACACTTTCACCACACTCACACATAATCACTGTTTTTGCAGAGGTACTCAGAATACAACAGTCTAGAAGCATATACGTATAAAGATACACAACATATCCCTCCAAACTGCCAATATCCCAAACCCCTCCTTTGAAGTGCAGGCATTGTACTTCCCATTTCCAGGACTCAAGTCCGACTATATGAAAATAACCGGTTTCCCTGAATCCCTTCACTAAATATTACCCTGCTCACACTCCAGCAGATCGTCAGGTCCCAAGTACCATTCGTCTCCATTCACTCCTATCTAACACGCTCACGCATACTTGCTGGAAGTCCAAGCCCCTTGCCCACAAAACCTCCTTTAGCCCCTCTCTCCAACCCTTTCGAGGACGACCCTTACCTCGGCTTCCTTCCCCTATAGATTTATATGCTTTCCATGTCATTCTACTTTGATCCATTCTCTCTAAATGACCAAACCACCTCAACAACCCCTCTTCTGCCCTCTGACTAATACTTTTATTAACTCCACACCTTTTCCTAATTTCCACACTCCGAATTTTCTGCATAATATTTACACCACACAGTGCCTTAGACAGGACATCTCCACTGCCTCCAACCATCTCCTCACTGCTGCATTTACCACCCAAGCTTCACACCCATATAAGAGTGTTGGTACTACTATACTTTCATACATTCCCTTCTTTGCCTCCATAGATAACGTTTTTTGACTCCACATATACCTCAATGCACCACTCACCTTTTTTCCCTCATCAATTCTATGATTAACCTCATCCTTCATAAATCCATCCGCCGACACGTCAACTCCCAAGTATCTGAAAACATTCACTTCTTCCATACTCCTCCTCCCCAATTTGATATCCAATTTTTCTTTATCTAAATCATTTGATACCCTCATCACCTTACTCTTTTCTATGTTCACTTTCAACTTTCTACCTTTACACACATTCCCAAACTCATCCACTAACCTTTGCAATTTTTCTTTAGAATCTCCCATAAGCACAGTATCATCAGCAAAAAGTAACTGTGTCAATTCCCATTTTGAATTTGATTCCCCATAATTTAACCCAACCCCTCTCCCGAACACCCTAGCATTTACTTCTTTTACAACCCCATCTACAAATTATATTAAACAACCATGGTGACATTACACATCCCTGTCTAAGACCTACTTTTACTGGGAAGTATTCTCCCTCTCTTCTACACACCCTAACCTGAGCCTCACTATCCTCATAAAAACTCTTAACAGCATTTAGTAACTTACCACCTATTCCATATACTTGCAACATCTGCCACATTGCTCCTCTATCCACTCTATCATATGCCTTTTCTAAATCCATAAATGCAATAATAACTTCCCTACCTTTATCTAAATACTGTTCACATATTCTTCTTTATACCTCATATAATTATATATCTACTTTTTTAAAATGTGCAATACATATTATCAAACCTCTTTCCAAAAGTGTGCAAACTGAATTTAAGTATTCCATTTCCAGTAATGTACTTATGCCACCAAAGCATGGTAATGTAACAATGAATTCTTGATTATAAAGCAATCTTACAACTAATAAATGTTGAGCTGGCCTTAATTTTTTTTAAAGCAATAACGGGTTACATTTTTTTTTTTTTTTACAAAATTTAAAAAATAATTACTGTAATGTATGCAACAATGACATGACCAACATGTAACAATTGTAAGCATATAATTTTCTGGTGGATATTTAAGTATATGGGAAATATTGTTAATAATTTTTCATATTTACTTTGAAGATGTTATAATGCAAAATTAACATTTAGATCGTATATTGTGCCTACTGTGCTACCCTTTGGAAAAATACAAATATCATACCTGCACCCATTTCTGCATCAACACCTCATTATAATGATCTTTCACCTCCAGCAGCAGTTCATGGAGAGGATTCACAGTGTAGCCATAATTCTGCAAAGCACAGCAAAAGTTGGTGAATGAATTTGGGGAGGGAATGTAAAAGAAGGAAGTTGAAAGTGAACATAGGAAACAGCAAGGTGATGAGGGTAACAAACAAGTTAGGTAATGAGAGATTGGATATCAGAGTGGAGGGAGAGAGTATGGAGTAAGTGAAAGTGATCAGATATTTGGGAGTGGACTTGTCAGCAGATGAGGTAAACCACAGAACTGATGAAGGGAAAAAGGTAGGTGGTGCACTGAGGCATCTGAGGAGAAAAAGGACGTTATCCATGGAGGCAAAGAGGAAAATATTTGAGAGTATAGTATTTCCAACACTCTTATATAGATGTGAAGACTGGGTTGTGAATGTTGCAGTGAGGAGGAGGCTGGAGGAAGTGAAGATGTGTCTGAGGACAAGTGTGACGTAAATATTATTCAGGGAATTCATAGTTTGGAGATTAGGAGGTGTGGAGTTACTAAAAGTATTATCCAGAGGGCTGAGGAGGGGGTTGAGGCAGTTTGGTCATTTAGAGAACCGAATACAATAGGATAACCTAGAGGGTTATTTTTATATAGCCGGACTTGAGTACTGGAAATGGGAAGTACAATGCCTGCACTTTAACCCTTTCAGGGTTTCAGACGTACTAGTATGGCTTACGCACCAGGGTTTTTGACATACTAGTATGCCTAAATTCTAGTGCCCTCAAATCTAGTGAGAGAAAGCTGGTAGGCCTACATATGAAAGAATGGGTCTATGTGGTCAGTGTGCGCAGTATAAAAAAAAACCTACAGCACACAGTGCGTAATGAGAAAAAAAAAACTTTTTTTTTGACCATGTTTTTGGATTAAAACAGCGACATTGCACTGTATTTTTGTATGGTATTTATTGTTGTATTCTAGTTTTCTTGGTCTCATTGTATAGAATGGAAGACATTACAGAAATTGAGATGATTTTGACTGGTTTTACAATGAAAAGTACCTTGAAATTGAGCTCAAAGTAGCAGAAATGTTCGATTTTTACCAAAGTTCAAAAGCAAACAAATCATGCTATGCGTCCAATACACATCAACTGGTGAGTCTAATATTCTTTCACAAGTGCGCTGATATTATTTATACCATTTCTACACTAATGTAGTAGTCTGCATAACAGTCAATCTTCTATTTTTTTGAGAATAAAAATTCAAAGTGGAAAGCCAAAGAAATATAAGAGGGGCCTGGGGATATGACTAATGAACAGAGGAAATGTTATTTTAGTGCCAGGAATGTCTTTCTTGTTTATTCTGGACCCTATTCGGAAATTGGCAGCTTTTAAAATTTGTGTGAAATTGGCAAAATTGCTAAATTCTGACCACTTTATTGGATAGCTGAAATCGGTAAATGGGAGGTTTCTTGTACTCATTCGATAGAAAAAATGGAGTTCTAGCAAAATAGTCATGATTTCTGTCGACTAGTACACTGGAATTGGCCGAAAATAGGGCTCAAAGTGGGCAAAATCACTGACTCAAGAAATCGTAATGACACGATTGCAAACAAACCATACCCCCGGCCGGGATTGAACCCACGGTCAGAGTCTCAAAACTCCAGCCCGTCGCGTTAGCCACTAGACCAGCTAGCCACAATAAGATTCATCCAACTAGGTATATTTCTACACCATAGGAAGGTTAGCACAGGCACCACTGTGACCACAAATGCAAGTTTTTACAGACGAATCTCCAGCTAGCGTGGCAGTGACGAACTCTAGCTCAAGTCCCTTCACTGCCGTCAACATGACTCAAGAAATCGTAATGACACGAAGGGACTTGAAGGGACTTGAGCTAGAGTTCGTCACGGCCATGCTAGCTGGAGATTCGTCTGTAAAAACTTGCATTTGTGGTCACAGTGGTGCCTGTGCTAACCTTCCTACGGTGTTGAAATATACCTAGTTGGATGAATCTTATTGTGGCTAGCTGGTCTAGTGGCTAACGCGACGGGCTGGAGTTTTGAGACTATGACCGCGGGTTCAATCCCAGCCGGGGGTATGGTTTGGGCAAAATCGCCATGCGTAAACACTGTTGAGGCCGCTAACTTCACGAGAGCATAATTCCGTAAGTTTTCCGTCAAATTTCATTCTTTTGGTGTCATTATGATTGGGAAAAGATTCTCTATCTTTTCATAAGAAAAAATAATTTTTTTTTGTTTGAAAATTTGGCGACCCTGAGAACAAGTCTCGGAGAGGGCCTGGCAACACTGGAAGGTAACGTTAAAGGAGAGGTTTGGAATATTGGCAGTTTGGAGGGATATGTTATACATCTTTATACAGTGGACTCCCGCCGCTGTTGAATTAATTTTCCCATAAGAAATAATGGAAATCAAATTAATCCGTTCCTGACACCCCAAAGTATGAAAAAAAAATTTTTTTTAGACCACATGAAATATTAATTTTAATACACACAAACTGAAGAAGACATGCACAATTACTACTCTACTAAGAATAGAATACATGACACTTACCTTTATTGAAGATCTGGTGATGATTGATGGGATGGGAAGAGGGGAGTGTGTGGAAGTTATTGTTTAGAAGGGGAATCCCCTTCCATTAGGACTTGAGGTAGCAAGTCCTTTACTGGGGTTACTTCCCTTCTAATTTTAATGCCACTAGGACCAGCTTGAGAGTCACCGGGCCTCTGTCGCACAACAAATCTGTCCATAGAGCTCTGTACCTCCCGTTCCTTTAAGACTTTCCTAAAATGGGCCATAACATTGTCACTGTACAGGTTGCCAACATGGCTTGCAGTAGCTGTGTCAGGGTAATTTTCATCTGTAAAGGTTTGCAGTTCAACCCACTTGGCACACATTTCCTTAATCTCTTTTTTCAATTCCATACTAATTCTCGCTCTTTTTACCACAGGGATGGCACTAGAAGCTTTCTTGGGGTCCATGGTGACTTATTTTGCAGTTACAAGCACTAAAAACACTGGAATAATGCGAAATGTACCGAATGTATGCGAAGATGCGACCGCAATGGCTGGCTTGTAAACAGTGGCAATGAGGCCACATGTGGGACGCATCCCGGACGAATCACGTAAGGCGATTTTTTTATCGTGAGGCGAGGCAAAATTTTTGCATTCAAATGCTTCGTATGGCAGATTTAACGTAACGTGAGGCGTTTGTAAGGTGGGGGTCCACTGTATATGCTTCTAAACTGTTGTATCAGGGCACCTCTTCAAAAACAGTGATTATGTATGAGTGAGGTGAAAGTTTTGAATGATGATGAAAGTATTTTCTTTTTGGGGATTTTCTTTCTTTTTGGCTCACCCTGCCTAGGTGGGAGACAGCTGACTTGTTAAAAAAAAAAAAAAAAAAAAAAAAAAAACTTGGAGGGTATATAAATCTGTAGTGGAGGGAAGTCAGGGTCGTCGTAGGAAAGGATGGAGAGGAGGAGTATTGGAGGCCATTTCCCATTGAGGCAGGGTGACCCATAACAAAAAAAAAAATTCTTCTGATGCTCTTATATGGCGTGAAGTATGAATGATGAATGTTGCAACAAGGAGAAGGCTGGAGGCAGTGGGGATGTCATGTCTGAGAGTAATGTATGGTGTGAATATAATGCTGATAATGTGTAGTTTGGAAATCAGGAGGAAGTGCGGGGTTACTAAAAGTATTATCCAGAGGGCTGAGGAGGGGCTGTCGAGGTGGTTCAGACATTTAGAGAGGATGGAACAAAACAGAATGACTTGGAGAGCATATAAATCTATAATGGAAGGAAGGCGGGGCAGGGGTTGTCCTAGGAAAGATTGGAGGGAGGGGGTAAAGGAGGCTGGACTTCCAGCAAGCATGCGTAAGTGTGTTAGAAAGGAGTGAGACAAATGGTTTTTATGACTTGACGTGCTGTTGGAGTGTGAGCAAGGTAACATTTATGAAAGGATTCAGTGAAACCGGCAGGCTGGACATGAGTCCTGGAGTTGGGAAGTACAGTGCTTGCACTCTGAAGGAGGGGTGTTGATAAGTTGCAGTTTTATAACTGTAGTGTAGGCACACCTCTGGCAAGACAGTGATGGAGTGAATGATGATGAAAGTTTTTTTCTTTTTCAGGTCACCCTGCCTTAGCGGGAAATGGCCAGTGTGTTAAATGCTCCTAGCATTTTTGTCACCTCTTACGACGTGAATGACTTACGAAGGAGGGATTCTTTTCCGCTTTCCCATGGAGTAAAGCACTGAACATAATGGTAAAGAAGTAAAATGAGCTGAGAAATGATCCAATAAATGATCCATACAGGGGTTCAAAAACTGATATGACAGAAATGAATTAAATTAGTTGGCCAAAACCTAAGAAGCAGAATGAACAGAAACTTCACCACCTCCCTTGTTTTTCCAAGTTGTACACAACTTTAAAAACCCTAAAACTTTTAGTCAAGAATTTAAAACATATTACACCTTTTTTACCTGTAAAGTATGGGCGAAGAGCATAATAAGATTTTTGATGTTCAACATAAGGAATGTATCAGTGCAGTACGAAGAATGGTTCCGAATGTTGTTTACAACCTAAAAAAGAAAATATCTTTAAAGGTTGCGATCAAAAAAATTCAAAAGATTTTCCTAAAACCATTTTAACGCATTTTATTTAGAAGAAAATAAGTTTTAAATAAATAATCTACAAAATAGAGCAAGACTGTTCGGTAGTCAAACAGGACTTACCTTACCAGAAGCCATATCCCACACCTCGTCCAGGTAAGGCCTGGTAACTAAACTATTGCCAGTATTGAGTACATGATCCTCTATCACAAAGAAACCAACCACTCCATACAGATACTGTCGGTAGCCCTCCAGGTTCTCATGCTGGTGACACAGGAAGACTGTTTTTAGCTAGATAATAAAATATGGTTAATATTTAAATTTTTCACATACTTTAAATAGCACAATCTATATCCACCTATGGAAGACTGGGTGCAACTCTGGGTGTTGGCAGACCTAACCATATTAACACACATCTAACTCTCTCACTGTTGGTTATGCAGATCTACTTCACTGAGGCCAGAATCACTTACGTCTTAATGACAGCACCCTCAATTTTGCTGTGACTGGTAAATTCTGACCTAAGTATGAGAGAATGGGTCTGCATAGTGAGTGCACAGCACAAGAAGAATTTTGAAATGCATGATCAGAGCAGTTAGAGTCTGACCTAGCTGGCTAAATGAAAAGGAATTTTCCATACTACAGAGCTGCCCTGGTTTCTACTGACATCCAAGCTTATATTTTTATTAAATTTCAAGAGAGAAATTTTATGAGAAATTTTAATAATTTGTGCCAATTTGCAATCTGATACAGTGAATAAAAAATATATGTGTAATGCATACACCAATGTTGTGAAATAAATTTGTGAAGATGATGAATGGTCCTATACACAGTATAGTTAATAAATTACCTTAATCAAATGCTGTACTGCACATCAGTCTTATTAACCTCTGGAATTGTTCATAAAATTGATCTACCAATAGCCTAGCACCACTTATATCAACAAGTAACCTTTCACGAGCATAGTTTAATCAACACAATTTATTTTTAGCAGACATCTTGTATTTTGTAATGCAAATTTATAGTTACGGTACTAAAAGTGTGTGTGTACATGCTTTGTGCCAGTATGTAATTTGATTAGGAATTGAGATCAACTGAACCCATCTAAAACCTGCATTTCTATTTACCAAAATGAAAGACATTCATTTCTTGCATATTATGAACACAACATTGTGATGATTATCTCAAACACGTATATGTATATTTTATCCTGACATGTTTTTATGTTCAGTTATCTTTAATCACTGTACATACATAGTTCAATTTACTTACCATATTTGTAGGAGGCTGTAAAGCCAGTCTAGCCTGCTCCCTGCGCTGCTGACGATAATAAGTTTCAAACTGTTCTCTAGCTCCCAAGACAGTATATATATGAAGGCATCTATACACCGGGGCAAAGTTTATCAAGTCTTGAGCACACAGTTCTTCCTCCTCATCACTCTGGGCCTCAGACTGAGCTTCGTATGTTTCCCCTACAAGAATATTATTTAACATTAGCCTTAATCAATGATACTAAAATATATTTCTGTTGCTGCTGCAACAAATGCAGACACCACTTTCTCCACATCCCAGTGTATACTGAGAAAAAAAATGGTAGAGATTAGTTTTCAAACTTCTTCCTTGTATTTCTCTTTTCTTCCTATCTTCCACATTGAAGAGTGCACACTAAGGGCTGCAGGCACATTTCAGAAAGTGAGAATGTCTTTTAGGAGTGTAAGAATGATATGGAGGGGTATGGGAGTGAGTTTAACCCCTTCAGTGTAGGTGTTGTAAAATTACGGCTTTGAAACCAATGTCGGTTCTATAATAAATGCCAAAATTCTAGAGGCTTGAAATCTTGCAGGAGAAAGCTGGTAGGCCTACATATGAGAGAATGGTTCTGCGTGGTCAGCGTGCACAGTATAAAAAAAAATCTGAAGCAAGCAGTGCATAATGAAAAAAAAAAAAAAACACGACTGAGTTTTTGGTTTAAAACAGTGACTTTGCGGTGTATTTTTGTATGATAATTATACCTTTTGATATATGCCTTTGAAGAGTTTCTCTACTCTCTGAGCCTGGCCATGGGCCAGGCTCCTCTGGTTCTTGCCTGGTCAACCAGGCTGTTGCTGCTGGAGGCCCAGTGCCCCACATATCCATCACAGCCTGGTTGATCTGGCACCTGGTGAGGATACTTATCCAGTTTCCTCGTGAAGGCTTCTACACTTGTCCCAGCTGCGTTTCTGATATCTTCTGGTAAGATGTTCAATGGTCTGAGACCCCGAATGTTTATACAAAGTTCCCTTATTGTCCCCACTGCACCCCTGCTCCTCACTGGGTTCATTTTACACTTCCTCGCATATCTCTCACTCCAGTATGTTGTTATGGCAGTGTGTAGATTTGGGTCCAGGCCCTCGAGTACTTTCCAGGTATATATTATCATGTATCTCTCTCTCCTCCGCTCCAGTGAGTACACATTCAAGACTTGAAGGCATTCCCAGTAGTTTAGGTGCTCTACAGGTTCAATGTGAGCCGTAAACGATCTCTGTATTTGTTCCAGCTCCGATATTTCTCCTGCATAGAACGGGGCTGTTAGCACTGAGCAATATTCTAAGTGAGGGAGCACTAGTGATTTGAAGAGTGTCACAATCGGCATTATTTCCCTTGTTTTGAAAGTTCAGTACCCACCCGGTCATCTTCCTGGCTGTTGTGACCTTTGTCTTTTTATGCTCTTTAAAAGAAAGGTCAGCCAACATAATTATTCCCAGGTCTTTTACGTGTTCCTTATGTTCTATTTGGTGACCTTCTTGAGTTTTGTATATAGTGTTCCTTTTGAGTTCTTCATTCTTTCTATACCTAAGCAGCTGGAACTTATCACCACTGAATGTCATGTTATTCTCCACTGCCCACTGGGAAACCCTACTTATGTTTTCCTGTACTTTTTCAGTGTCCTCTACTGTAGTGACTTTCATGCTTATTTTAGTGCCATCTGCAAATGATGATACAAAAGTGCCAGGTGTTAGTGCCTTGGGACACAGCTTTTGACCTTGCTGATGCTGGATCTTGCCCTGTTTACTACTACTTTTTGTGTTGTGTGTGTTAGGAACCTGAAAATCCATCTGCCTACCTTCCCTGTAATGCCCATGGACCTCATTTTGTGCGCTATCACTCCATGATCGCATATGTCAAACGCCTTCACAAAATCTGTGTAAATCGTATCTGCATTTTGGTCATCTTCCAATGCCTCCATAATTCTGTCATAATGGTTCAGCAACTGTGACAGGCATGATTGTCCTACTCTAAAACCATGCTAGTTTGGGTTATGCTGGTCCATGAAATTTGTAATCTGCTGTCTCATCACTCTTTCAAAGATTTTTACGACGTGAGAAGTAAGGGCTACTGGTCTGTAATTTTTAGCTAGTGCTCTACTACCTCCCTTATGCAAAGGAGCTATGTCTGCACTCTTTAACGCCTCCGGTATTTCACCTAGAACTAAGCTCTTTCTCCAAAGAATACTGAGGGCTTGTGATAAGTGGTAGTTTGCACGTTTTTATACACAGAGCATTCCATGAATCTGGTCCAGGTGCTGAGTGAGTGGGCATGTTGTCCATTTCTTTTTCGAAATTTATGGGATTTGTACTAATGTCAGTTAGTTGGTCTGTGCAGCCTTCTTCCGGAGTGAAAAATATTTCTGCATTTTCTACCTTGCTGTCATTTTCTGGGTTGCTAAACACTAGACTCATACTGTTCTTCTAAGATTTTACTCATTTCCTGTTCATTGTCAGTATACAAGTCTCCTTTCAGTAGTGGTCCAATTCAACAGGTAGTTCTTAGCTTGGATTTTGCATAGGAATAGAAATATTTTGGGTTTCTTGCATGGCCCTTTGTTCCCTTCGAACTTCCTGTTAGGTATGATATCCTAAGCTTTCGCTCTAGTTCAATGATCTCTTGTCTAAGCCTATGGTTGTATTCTCGTTTTCTTGGTCTCATTTAATAGAATGGAAGGTATATTACAGAAATAAGAGGCGATTCTGAATGGTTTACCGACTAAAAGTAGCTTGAAATTGAGCTCAAAGTAGCAGGAACGTTTAATTTTTGACAACATTCAAGAGCAAACAAATCATGTCATGTGTCCAATACACATCAACTGCTGGGTCTAACATGCATTCATGAATGCACTGATATTATTTATACAATTATTACAAATATGCAGTAGTCTAAATAACAGTAAATCATCTATTTTTTGTGTGAATAAAAATTCAAAATGAAAAGCAACTGTAATGCAAGAGGGGCCAGATTACATGACTAATGAACAGAGAAAATGTTATTTCAGTGCCTGGAATGTCTGCTTTGTTTATTCTGGCCCCTATTTTGAAATTGGCTTTTTTTTTAATTTTGTGTGAATTTGGCCAAATTAGTAATTTCTGATTACTTTTTGTGTAGCTGAAATAGGTAAATGGGCAGCTTTTTGTACTCAATCGATAGAATAAAAAGAGTTCTAGTGAAATAACCAAGTTTGGTTGACTGGAACAAAAGGAATTGGCCCAAAATAGGGCTCAGTGGGCAAAATCGCTGATGTGTAAATACAGTGGACCCCCGGTTCGCGAAGCCATTGGTATCCGATAAATCCAGTATCCGAAGCATTATATCGCAAAAAATTTGCCTCTGTTCCCGTTACAAAACCCAGTATGGGATACGATTCGTACGAGACGTGTCCAGTGTTTACAAGCCAGCCAGTGTGCGCGCATCTAAGGATACATTCGGTACATTCTATATTATCTGTATTATCACTGTTTTTGGTGCTTGTTTCTGCAAAATAAGTCACCATGGGCCCCAAGAAAGCTTCTAGTGCCAACCCATCGAGACCAAGGGTGCTAATGACTATTGAAATTAAGGAAATGTGTGCAAAGTGGCTTGAAGTGCAAACCTTTTTTGATGAAAATCACCCTGACACAGCTACTGCAAGCAGTGTTGGCAACCTGTGCACTGACAATGTTGCGAACCACTTTAGGAAAGTCATAAAGGAACGAGAGGTACAGGCCTCTATGGACAGATATATTGTGCGACAGAAGTCCAGTGACTTTCAAGCTGATCCTAGTGGCATTAACCCTTTGACTGTTGCAGCCGTATACATATGTCTTACGAGGTACCGTGTTTGACGTATATATACTCATAAATTCTAGCGGCTTCAAATCAAGCAGGAGAAAGCTGGTAAGCCCACATGTGAGAGAATGGGTCTGTGTGGTCAGTGTGCACCATATAAAAAAAATCCTTTAGCACGCAGTGCATAATTAAAATGCCGACTTTGTGGTCTATTTTCGTATAGTATTTATGGTTGTATTCTCGTTTTCTTGGTCTCATTTGATAGAATGGAAAACATATTATAGAAATAGAGGTGATTTTGATTGATTTTACTGTAAAAAGAACCTGGAAATGGAGCTCAAAGTAGGGGAAATGTTTGATTTTTGCCAATGTTCAAAAGTAAACAAATGATGTCAGTGATTGTCCAATAAATATCCAACTAGCCATTCTAATATGCAGTCATGACTGGGTTGATGTTATTTATACAATTATTACAGTAGTCTGCATAATAGTAAGTCTTCTATTTTTTGTTTGAATAAAAATTCAAAATAGAAAGCAAGAGTAATATCAGAGGGAGGGGCCTGGAGACATGACTGATGAACAAAGAAAATGTTATTTTAGAGCCAGGAATGTCTGCATTGTTCATTCTGGATCTTATTTTGAAATTGTCATATTTTTATAATTTCGTGAAATTGGCCAAATTGCAAATTTCTGACCACATTATTGGGTAGTTGAAATCAGTAAATGGGCAGTTTCTTGTACTCAATCGATAGAAAAAATGGAGTTCTAAAGAAATAGCTATGAGTTTGGTCGACAGGAACAACGGAATTAGTCGAAAATAGGGCTCAAAGTGGGCGAAATCGCCGATTTGTAAACAGCGCCGAGGCCGCTAACTTCGCGAGAGCATAATTCTGTCAGTTATCCATCAAATTTCGTTTTTTTGGTGTCATTACAATCGGGAAAAGATTCTCTATCATTTCAAAGGAAAAAATAATTTTTTTTTTTGAAATTTTGCGACACCAGGAGACACCTCAGGATTGGGGTTTGCGACAGTCAAGGGGTTAAAAGAAGAAGGGAAGTAACCCTGGAAAAGGACTTGCTACCTCAAGCCCTAATGGAGGGGGATTCCCCTTCTAAACATTAAAAACTTCGACACTCTCCCCTCCTCCCATCCCATCAATCATCACCAGATCTTCATTAAAAGTAAGTGTCAATTATTCTGTTGTGATTATTCTATTGTTATTATTGTTATTGTAATTATTGTATTGCATTAAACTTAATATATCATGTGGTAAAAGTTTTTTTTCTTACTTTTGGGTGTCTTGCACGGATTAATTTGATTTCCATTATTTTTTATGGGGAATATTGATTCGCTTTCCGATAATTTTGGTTTACGATGAGCTATCAGGAACGG